CAGCCCCTCGCGCAAAATTCCAGTTTGCGAGCGCAAATTACTGCACGCAAAATTGGATCTTGATAAATCCGGCCCTGAGTTTGTTTCATGTTTATTTGCTGATTAGTTTCTGATGTCAGTTAAACTTGGTCCCACAAGGAATCACTTCTAAATTATCTTATAAATGGACTGATTTACTATGTTTTTTCCAGTCATTCTGGCAGCTCAAAGCATCTAATGCAGGGGTGTCAAACTGGTGCCAGAAAGGGCCGTGTGGCTGCAGGTTTTCTTTCCAACAAAGCAACAGCACACCAGACTCCATTCATCTCATCAAGTCATCATGTTAAGACTAGACTAACTTGATGAGGTGACTGGAGTCTGGTGTGCTGTTGCTTGGTTGGAAAGAAAACCTGCAGCCACACAACCCTTTCTGGAACCAGTTTGACATCCCTGATCTAATGCAATTGTCACATCAGATTCTCATGAAGGTAACTTGGGGTTCAGCACATTCACCTGTGACAGGACGAAGCTGAAATCGAACCTACTAATTTCATATTTTAATCTAATTCTGTCGTCTCTACGGTCCTGTTACAGAATTTATAGTCCAAACCTTTTGTTATGAAAACCAAGACTGACAAATTGAAAATATTGAGGGGATTAGAAATTTACATCAAAGGCAGCAAAAAAATTATATTGTGATATTTTGCCTGATTTCACCATGCTCAATAAAAAATAATATTTAGATAGAAGAAAAATTAATCAGAATTGGTGTGTGTGTGTCTAATGTGTTCCTATGTTTTTATTAACCTGTGGAGACTAATAGGTACTTGAGGGGACCAACCACTGGTCCCCATGAGGAAAGGTTTTCTTTAGGGGGAGGTTACATTTAAGGTTTGACATGTGTTGGTAATGGTTAAGGTAGGGTCAGAGTTAGGCTACGACATTAATTACAACTTAAAGGAAGTCCCTATAAGTATAGTGTGACACAACCTTTTTCTGTGTGTGTGGACTTGTTTTTATGACAGTGTGGGGAATCCGTTTACAGAGTCACTCATGTGTCAATCATGTGGCTCCGATAAATGGACCCAGAATTCAGGCAGACAGAACATGTTTGTTTGAAGATAAAATGCTTTATTAATATCTCTGGATTAAGCAGCTCGTCCGCTGGGACCGGCTTGCTCAATTCTATGACAGACACTCAAGTTAGTGATCACTATGCTCAGACAGGGAACAATAACTAGCCTGTAGAGCAGGAGCCAGCAGACTCTGAAGAGCAGAATAGTCCAGAGGCAGAATCCATAGCAGGTAAAGAAGCATCAGAGAGACACAGTCGTACCAAAGGGATTACCAAAGCCAGGGTCAGGGGATAGATCCAAGGTCGCTAACAGGCATCCATGTTTGAACAGGAGTCCAAACAGCAGTCCGAACACAGGAAACAGGCAGAAACAGACCAGAACAGGGGCAAACCAAAACTCAGAAAGAGGCAGAAACAGGTAAGTCAAACAACACTACAGGCTACTCAAAATACTTCTTACACTCTGTATCTGTAATCCGGTAATCTGGCAATGATGGCCTGAAAACAGGCAGCATAAATAGGAGCTGGAACAGGTGGATCAGATAAGGGCAGGTGAAGACTGGGCGGGGCTAAGCAGGTGGAAGGAATGAAACAAATGGTCCAGTCATTAGTGCCAAGATCATGATGATTTCATACGCCCTTCTGGGCTGGTCAGGGTGCTGCTCATGGAAATCCCTGATCATGTCCTTTTCTAGGATAAGCCTGGCAGGAACACAGGACTTCTCCTCGTGGCCATAACCCTCACAGTCCATCAAGTACTGGAACCCCCTGCCCCTCCTCCTGGACATCAGAAGATTGTTGACCTTGTAGGGAGGCTCTCCATCGACGAATTGGGAGGATGGAGGTGATCTTGAGGTGAGCTTAAAGCTAGAAACTACCACTAGTTTCACCCAAGTAAGATGAAACATGGGATATACCTGCTTCGTATGAGGGAACTAGACGTGTGTGACGACCACTTTGGTGATGGGGAATGGCCCGATAAAGTGAGGAGCCAGCTTCTGGCTATGCACCCTAAGGGGCAAGTCTTAGGTTGATAACCAAACCTCCTTACCCTCCAGGTAAACGGGCACTAGAGCCCAAGTCGATTAGCAACTTTGACTTGGCAAACCTAGGCCTTGGAAATGGCCTTTCTAGCCCTTCTCCAGATGCACTGGCACCTGAGGGCAGATAAATGGGCTCATGGAACTTTGGAATCTCTCTCCTGAATGTCGAACAACGGTTGCTGGAAATCGAACACAACAAAAAATGAGAGAGAGCCCAGTGGTGCTGGAGGGGGCAAATGGCATTTTCCACCCAGTGTTGCTGACTGGCTCACTTAGGCACATCAGCCTCACACAAAACCCAAATCTTAGTCTCGACCTCTTGGTTGGCCCTCTATGTCTGACTGTCCATTTGAGGGTGAAAGCCTGATGACAGGCTGACAGTGATCCCCAACAGATAACAGAATTCCCTCCGAAACTGAGAAACAAACTGAAAAACAATGTCCTTGGGGAGACCTTGCAGGCAAAAAAAACTCACAAGTGAGGATCTCCCCCATCTCCTTAGCAGATGGGAGTTTGGTCAGCGTAGCCAAATGGACCATCTTGTAGGATCTGTCAAAGATGTTGAGAATAACGGTATTACCTTCAGAGCAAGGTAACTAGATAATGAAGTCCATGGCTATGTTGGACCAAGGACGAGATGGAATAGGTAGTGGACAACGGAAACCAGATTGAGGTCTCTTAGATATCTTGGACTGATTGCAGAGGGAACAAGCAGCCAAAATAGACGAGAACCATGACAGAACTCTAAGGCCTTCCTTCTCAGAGCATCTGGAACAAACAAACTGTCAAAACTGCATAATAGGAGCTGGAATAGGTGTATCAGATGGGTGATCAAACTGGGTGAAGCTAAGCAGGTGGAAGGAATGAAACTAATGCTCCAGTTGTCAGTGCCAAGATCATGACATCATGGGGACCTATGTCCTTATGGGGACCAAATTGCTGGTCCCCATATGGTAAAGTTTTGTTCTTTAATCTGGGGTTCAGTTTAGGACTAAGGTGTGAATTCAGTTCAGGTAAGGGTTAGGTATAGGTTGGTAATAGTTAGGATTAGGGTAAGGGTCTGAGTTAGGCCATATAAAATGAAGGCAAGTGAATGAAATGTCCCCAAAAGTCACAAGAATGTACATGTGGGGAGTTGCAGTCTAGTGGTTAGGGCATTGCGCTTGGAATCCAGAGGTTTTGAGTTCAAGCCCACTACCACAGACTGAAATTCTGGCTCCCTGAGCAAAGACCCTTAACTCCACACTGCTCCGTGGGCACCACACAATGTCATCCTACTGCTCCCCAATGAGTGATGGGTCAATTGCAGAGATTTCATTTCGCTGGGGGAGTGCTGGCCTAGTGGTTAGGGCAGTGTGGTTGTGCTCTGAGAAGGTTGCAAGTACCTGGTACCATCCCCAAAGCCTGCAATCTGGGTCCCTGACCAAGCGCTTAACCCCACACTGCACCCCGGTCAAAAGGGCCCTACAATAGCAGCCTTTGGATGGGATGGGTTAAATGCCGAAATAAATTAAAAGATGTAGAAATATAGAATTTAAATATGATAAAGAATCATTGAAGTACCGAAAACTAATTGCATGTCTGCCTGTTTAAAATAAAAACATTCAAAATTTCATTTTCAAGTTCATTATTTCGCTGGTTCTAGTGGAAAAATTTCTTTCCTCACAATAAAAATTAACTTCGCCATTTTTGCAGGATGTGAAGTTTCTGACTCGTTAACCTTTCTTAAGAACTGAAGCAAAGCGAATAAAAAAAAAATCCTCTTCAGTTTATTACGAAACTCAGTGGTTACAACAAAAAGGAAAAAGAAAAAGTTGGTCCGTCCCATCCAATAAACCTGTAATGACAGTTGAACTTATAAATAACCTTAACGCCCAGAAAACTGTTGCTCCTCGTCCTGCTCCATTAAAACTTATAAAGCGCTGCCATGCACATCTCTAAAGCAAAACTGTAAATGTGACCTTACCTAAACACAGGACATTAAAAGGAGCCTAATTAAATGAAATAACATAACCACAAAATATAACCAAACTCTTAATAAAATAAACAGTGTATTTCAATAACTAAATTCTAATCAGATATAACGTAGAGATAAACATAATTTCTATATGGCTCTAACACTTGTCTTTAATTTTTTGTGTAATTCTGTCTATGAAAATGCTCTAATTAGCTTCATTTAATGAACATTTGCCTAAAATATGGCTTGTCTGTGGTCCTACTAACTTTAAAATAAAATTCTTATTAAAATGTGAATGCTTGGTGAAGTGCCAAAAATTTTAATCCGTCATTAAACTATATCTTTTAGAAAATTATGTCATTTTCCATCTTAATTAACTTTCTTCAGTGCTTCAGTTAAATTTGCGTTATTCTTGTACAGACTTTGCACAAAGTAATTCCAGGGTCTCAGAACACCTCTAACGCACAGGTGGACTTTTATAGCAATAAAGTAAAACAAACTTGATTTCTGCATCTGGTCTATTGATGTATGGGGCTTTTTTAAATTGTATATTTGGTTTGCAGTAGTCAGGTGTCTTTTGTTTTCCCAAGTGACTAAGACATTGTGACAATCCATCTCTTCTTGCTTATTGTTCTGGTCCATAATAGTGCAGGCAACACAAATATGGTTTGTTGCATCAAGCAGCATCAAAGCAACTTCACATATAGTATACACAATAGCTGTTTCATTAACCCTCAAATTGTACAAATTGCAATTATGAAAATAAATTCGACACCTGGAAACATTAAATGTTCTAAAATTCTATGTTTTTTATTATAGAAAAGAAGAACAAAGGTAGATGGCAAATGCTGGTGTGGCGTATTTGGATAAATGAGGAGACAAGTTGTTTACATTTAGTTTGAGATGATGAGTCATGGTTGATATATGGATATATCTCATCTGTTTAAATATATTTCTGCCATGTTGTTCGCTTAGTTATCGCATGAACCAACATATTTGCAGGGAATTTTAATTTTATTTCTAATTTAAATTAAATACTGCAATCGCGAGGTTGCGTTTTTGAAAAAAAGAAGGTAATAGTATGAAAGTCAATCAAAAAAAAAAAATTAAATAATCCACTGGACTTGGTTTTCAAGTTTTAAGGCGTTTCTCTTTCCATCCAGGAAGCTTTTTCAATTCAAAATGTCATGAATAGCGTTAACTCGAGATTTTATACAGTAGCCCAACAAAGCCCTGTTTTTGTTTTGAAAACATGCAAAACACAACCCTCTACTGCTGGCTTCCCTACAACAACCACTCCACCTTCCCCCACTCCTCCTCCTTACAGACCCCCTGTCTGCTCTTCACTACCTCAATCCACATCCACCGACTCCACCCCTCGCCCCTGCTTCACATAATGTCCTCCAAATCTGAGGACCTCACCCCTCCCCTACGGTTACTTCTACAGTGTCCTTCACTCCTGACCTGGTGAGAAGACAGCTAACCAGACTCCACTCCTGCAAAGCTGCGGGCCCCGATGATGTACTCCCCTGGGTGCTCAAAGCTTGTTCCTATCAGCTCTGTGGAATACTTAGCCTAGCCTTCAGTCTGAGCATGCTCCTCCAGAGAGTACCCGTGCTGAGGAAGACATCCTGCCTTGTTCCTGTGCCAAAGACGCCGTGCCCTAGCAACCCTTAGGACTATAGACTGGTGGCACTGACATCCCATATCATGAAGACCTTTGAGAGGCTAGTCCTGGAGCAGCTAAGGCCCATGGTCAGGCCCTTCACTGATCCACTACAGTTCGCCTACCAGCCCCGCCTGGGAGTTGAGGACAGCATCATGTTCCTGCTGAACAGAGTCTAAAATCACCTGGACAAGCCGGCGAACACAGTGAGGATCATGTTCTTTGATTTCTCCAGTGCCTTCAACACCATCCTCCCGGCTCTACTAGGTGAGAAGATGACTGCGATGCAGATGGAGGCCCCCATCGTGTTCTGGATTGTTGATTACCTGACGGGTAGACCACAGTATGTACGCCTACAGAACTGTGTGTCTGACAGGGTGGTCAGCAACACTGGGGCCCCCCAGGGGACTGTCCTCTCCCCCTTCTTCTTCACCCTTTTCACCTCGGACTTCAACTATTGCTCTGAGTTCTCCCGCCTTCAGAAGTTTTCTGATGACTCAGCAATTGTTGGCTGCATTGAAAAGGGTGAGGAGAGTGAATACAGGACTGTGGTGGGCAACTTTGTCACTTGGAGTGAGCTGAAACACCTACAGCTCAATGTGACAAAGACTAAGGAGCTAATAGTGGATCTGAGGAGGACAAAAACACATGTGATCCCTGTTTCCATCTAGGGGGTTCCTGTTGACACTGTGGAGGAATATAAGTACCTGGGAGTGTACTTTAACAATGAGTTGGACTGGACTAGAAACACTGAGGCGGTCTACAAAAAGGGCCAAAGCTGACTATTCTTCCTGAGGAGGCTGAAGTCCTTTAACATCTGTGGGGCGATGCTGAGGATGTTTTATGAGTCTGTTGTTGCTAGCACGCTCTTCTTTGCTGTCACATGCTGGGGCAGTGGGCTGAGGGTAGCTGAAAATAACAGACTGAACAAACTGATCAGGAGGGCCGGTGATGTTGTGGGGAAGGAGCTGGACACCCTGACCACCGTGGCAGAGAGGACGATGCTGTCCAGGCTTCAGTCCATCTTAGACAATGACTCACATCCTCTCCATGACACACTGGTCCAGCAGACGAGCTCATTCAGCAGAAGACTCCTTTCACCCAGATGCTCCACAGAGCGCCACAGGAAATCATTTCTACCTGTGGTCATCAATCTCTATAACGCCTCCCTCTGAAATTGACATTTATTCTTTCCTTGCACAAGAGTTATATGTGTATTTATTTATATTATCTTGTGTGGTTTGTTGTGTAACAAAAGTAATTTCCGTCTGGGATTATTAAAGTCTTTCTGATTCTGAAATTGGAAAAGACGAAGGGGTGCATCCATTTGGTATGGGGGTTGTTTGGCTTACATGGGTATGGGGCAATACCCCATACCCAAAGTAACATGCCCAACACTGCAGAAGGCTGACAGTTGTGTCTGTGTTCATCATACTATGCCCCATTTGTTATAAAAGAAGGCATCTTATCTCACTCACATGTAAACACTGATTATAAGAGTGACTTCAGGAGATGAGCTGGAAGGATTACACAGAAAGAGGAGCTCCCACAGCAACTAACATTGTTTGGCATTGTTAATAATTCTTCATTTACAGATGGAATTTCTGGGAGATTATTAATTTCTATAATTTCTATAAATTTATTTGGAGATAATTTTTTTCCTTAAATAAAACAATTAATCACAGATAATCTATTTAAATGAACAAGTTAAAAGCACATATTGTTTAAATTTTTTTGTGTTTATGTTTTTTCTGTAAGTTGGACTTACCTCTCCATCAGCATTACTCTGGTTCTGTCATCCATCTTGTTATTCATCTCCTCCAGTCTCTTCACCTTGGCTTGGTCTCCTTTCTCCTTCATCTTCTGGATCAGAAAGTCCAGCATTACGTGAGTGGAAGTAATGTTTGCTTTTACTGTGTTGGTCTCATTCAATTTAACAGCAAGCTGATAGGCTTTATCCAACAGCTGGATCTTCTCTGCTGACAGCTGTTTCATTTCTTTTACAAGATTTTCCATCAGACCTGACCTATTCTCACCTACTACCAGATTCTGTTTGTACTTCTGTGTCACTGTTATTTCAGTGTGTTGGACTTTTCTGGTTCTGATCACATATTTCTGGTTTTCTTTCACATGCCTTGATGCAGGACACTTGTTGCTGCATGAAGTACAGTTTCCATTTTTCATGACCTCACACCTTTCTGGACTTAAGCCCATTGTACATCCAGGATAGTGACAGTTCTCCATACAGACGGTACAGTAGACAGCTGCTTCAGAAACCTCACCAGTTGGACCTGATTTAAATGGTTTTAGAGTTTTAAAAACTTCTGTTACCTCTGCAGTAAACTGCCCAGTTTTATTCTGTTTTTTGTGTTCCTTTAGGGCTTCATCTATCATGTTTATATCTCTCTGCTTTAATTCAGTGAACCTGATTCTCTCCTCCAGGTTCTGGATGCAGGCGGTCAGTCTGGCCCGTTCTGTCAGGGTTTCAAACATTAGCTTGATGTTTTTGGTTTTGATATCTTTCAGGAAAGTCTTGATTAGACCAAATCCTCTCTCTGACACCCTCCATGCATTCTCTAAGCCAAACTCATTTTCTTCAGTCCTCTGGGTCTTCTGCTGGTTATTGAACATGAAGTAGATGATCTGGTTCTTCTTATCTTTAGAACATTCAATGTTTGCCTTCTCTAGAGCTTTAAGGACCTCATGTGGAGGCATTCCATCAGAGTGGGTGATCAGAGCTACGGTGTTTTCTGGTCCAACCAGAGAAACCACTGAATTAAAGATGTACTGCAGTCGATTGCTGACTAGATGATCAGTCGCCTTCATCACCAGACCCACTGCATGAAGGTCAGGAACTCCACCCTCTGACTGAAAGATGCTGAATAATATCTGACTGACTTCATCATAATGTTGGATCCCTCTGGTTTCTCCATATCCAGGAGTATCAATGATGGTCAAAGAGAACGGCAAAACTTGATCTTCAAACCCAAAGATCTGATAGACGACCACATCTGAGTTTTGACTTCTCTCCTCCTCTTCCTCCACAATCTGAAACCAGACTTCATCCTCAAACTTCACTCCTATACTGTAGTTAAACAGAGCGTTGATCAGAGTAGATTTTCCTCCTCCTGTCTCACCAACAAGTAAGATGGTTCTGTTTGGCTTCTCATTTTCCCTGCCAATAGTGACTTTAGTCAGATTTCCAATCTTCTCTGTTTTCTTTGGCAAATCATAGATGTCAGGACATTCTGAATCGATCTTATGACTGTTGGCAATGATTTCAGCAAATTTTAACAAGATGTTTGTTTTTCTGTGAAAGCAAGAACATTTTTCAGTTAATGTCAGTGGTTTAGGTGGAAATAAAAAGTTAATGTCATACAAATATAGCACAAGAATGAGAAATATTTTTATACAAATCTATTTTTGATCTATTGGTCTAAATAAAAAACAACAAGAAAACAAATCCAGTTATAAATTAAATTTAATTAAGCCAAAGTCAAAGTGAAGCTAAGGTTTTTTTTTCTTCAATGAATGGAAGTAGAAGCTAAAGAAATATTTAAATTAAATAGTGTCCTGCCCATACGTGAGATGCACTTTTTCTAGAGCCCTTCCCACCGACCAAAAGCTGGTTGAAAAGACATTGTAAAGACAACATGATTTACATCCGAACAACGTCTACATTTGATTCAAAAGTGAAAGGTGAAAAGACGTACTTTTCAGATCATTGAAAAGACATTGTAAACTGGGTTTTTCATGTCTTTTCAACATCTATTATTGGATTAAAGTGGGGAGAAAATCAGACTGACAAAACACAGCCCATTTTCAACAACTATTTCTGGACTAAATTTAGAATGAGTAGATTTAGCCATAAAACCAACATGTAAATGACGTCTGTTGTATGGGGGATTGATATTTAGGGAGGCACCACACAGCCAGGTAGATGAACTTTGAGCCAGCTCCATGTCAGAGGATGAAGAGAGCACATCCAGTTAGTCACAATCAGAGAAACAGGACTACACTGAAAAACAGGCCAAGCTCCAACATCTAGAAACAAAGG